AAAAAAAAGAAATGGAGAAAAGATCTGAATGAACATGTCACCAATGAAGATATACAAATGGCAAATAAACATGTGAAAAGATACCCAACATCACACTTCATTAAGGAATTACAAATTAAAACAATGAGAAATCTTCATCCATTTACTAGAATGGTGAAAATCTAAAACAGCAACGAAACCAAATGCTGACAGGAACTCTCAGTCACTGCTGGTGACAATGCAATATGGGACAGCCACTTTGGAAGACGGTTTGGCAGTTTCTCACAAAACTAAACATACCCCATACTTTTACCATATCACATGATCAAGTGCTTGTGCCCCTTGGTATTTACCCAAATGTGTTTGAAACCTCATGCCCACACGAAAACCCACACACAAATGTTTACAGCAGCTTTACTCATAATTGGCAACACTTGGAAGCATCTGAGATGTCCTTCGATGGGTGAGTAGATAAACTCTGGTACATCCGTGCTTTAGAATACCACACGGTTCTAAAAAGAAAAGAGCTATCAAGCTCCAAAAAGACATGAAGGAAACTTAAAGGCAAATTACCAAGTGATAGAAGTCATACTGAAAAGGCTATGTACTGTGTGATTTTGAGTAGAAAAAACAAAACTCTGGAGACTGTAAAAATATCCATCAGTGGTTGCTGAGAGTTCTGGAGGATGGAGGGAGGGAGGAATGGATGGAGCACAGGAAATTTGGGGGTCAGTGAAACTATTCCACATAATGGTGTAGATACATGATACATTTATCAAAACCTATAGAATATATAAAACAGACATTGACCTCTAAGGTAAGCTATGGATTTCGGGTGATAACAATGCATCAGTGTAGGTTCACTGATTATAACAAATGTGTCACACTGATGTGGGATGTTGATGGTGGCAGAGGCAATGTATGTGTATTGTGTGCAGGCGTGCTGGGGATTAGGGAAGAAGTATGTGAAACTCTATGTATTTTTGCTCAATTTTGATGCGAACCTTAAACTGCTCTAAAAAAAGTCTATTAAAAATTAATAAATGGTGGTGCCCGTAGCTCAGTGGGTAGGGCACTGGCCACATACACGCAGGCTGGTGGGTTCAGACCTGGCCTGGGCCAGCTAAACAAGGACAACTGCAACAAGAAAATAGCTGGATGCTGTGGCAGGAGCCTGTAGTCCCAGCTACTTGGGAGGCTGAGGCAAGAGAATCGCCTAAGCCCAAGAGTTGGAGATTGTTGTGAGCTGTGACACCATAGCATTCTGTACTGAGGGCAACATAGTGAGACTCTGTCTCAAAAAGAAAAAAATTAATAACTGCCTATAGTCCCAGCTACTCAGGAGGGTGAGGGAAGAGGATCTCTTGGGCCTAGGAATTTGAGGTTACTGTGAGCTATGACATCACAGCACTCTAACCTAGGGCACCAGAGTGAGACACTTGTCAAAAAACAAAAAAGCAAAAAACAAACAAAAAAAACCTGATGTGCTAACACAGTGAAAAATTGTATCAAGGATCACCCAACAACATGTTTGAACTAAATGTTTTTATTAATGGGCAGAATATTTAATATTTAATAAATATTCACGCATACCTTGAATGGTGGAAGCCCCCTCCCATTCTTAATTCCCGGGCAACAAAACTACTTAGTATAAATGGGATACACAAAATGAGGCTTTTTCTCCCTTCAAGCCCCTTTTGGAGCAGAACTGTGAAGGGTATGTAGTAAAAAATATATACCACTTCAATTATCCACTTAAACCCACGCTCCTTTAGGAAGTAAGACATCAAAATGCTCAGAGGTCATCCACCCATTGAGATGTCTGTGCTTGACAACTGGGTCATTCTGGAATAGGGGAGGGGAGGGCAGGCATGCCTGTCTTTCTGGGAAACAGTGCACCCTATGATGGTGGCATTTGGATGATGGATCAGCCATGCCACAGATATGAACCCAGCCACTTTGTCCATCATAGTAAGTCAGGCCACCTATCAAACTGCCCTGCTCTAAAATGGAAACATTGCCTGGATACAAATAATATGGTAACTTACTTGAGATTTAGAAAAACGGAAGGATTTCAAAGTGAGTCATGTGTATTATTTTTAGGTCCATGCAAGAAGTAGTAATAACTAAAAGTAGTAAGAGATAAACTTACTCAAACTGCCCTTCAGTTTTTTTGAGACAGTCTCAAGCTGTCACCCTGGGTAGAGTGTTGTGGCATCACAGCTCAGAGCAACCTCAAACTCTTGGGCTTAAGAAATTCTCCTGCCTCAGCCTCCCAAGTAGCTGGGACTAAGGCGCCTGCCACACACCCAGCTATTTTTTGTTGCAGTTGTCGTTGTTTAGCTGGCCTGGGCCAGGTTCGAAACCACCAGCTTCAGTGTATGTGGCTGGCGCCCTACCTAGTGAGGTATGGGCACCACCCTGCCCTTTAGTTTTACGGCACATTATCTGTTAACTTCAGCTGTGTGTGAAAAATTACAACATCCAGATGTGCCTGCAATGGCAGCTTACTTGTGTTCTGCCCACAGTATTACCAGTAAGTGTGGTTGCCCCACCCATCAGTGCCATTGGAGTGTATACTCTACTAGTCCACACTGGTTCAAATTACTGGCTTGGCTTGGTTGGACTCATGTGTTGACAGCTCTGCAAAAATTAAACAGCTGGATGTCTGGTTTTGCCTTAATGTAGAGTGGGTGCAGTGCTGCGCTAGTCCTCTGACAGGAAAAAAATTCTGGATAATTTCAAAATATTGGATAATTTATCAAATATGCTCAGCACCTATAACTCAGTGGCTAGAGCACCAGCCACATACACCAGAGCCAGCAGTTTTGAATCCAGCCTGGGCCTGCCAAACAACAACTATAGCCAAAAAATAGCCAGGCATTGTGATGGGTGCCTATAGTCCCAGCTACTTGGGAGGCCGAGGCAAGAGAAGCCCAAGAGTTTTTGAGGTTGCTGTGAGGCTGTGACGCCACAGCACTCTACCCAGAGCCACAGCTTGAGCCTCTGTCTTAAAACAAACAAAAAAACTTTATCAAAGAAAGCTAATTGAGGTCTGTGTCTCTGTGAAAGCTATGGAGACCCCAATTAATCCAAATGGATAAAGGAAAATGTTGCATCCAGGATTATAGTGTCAGAAATTCAATGAACCCAATTAGGTAAATGCAATATACACATTAGACACTAACATGGCCCTTGTGGCCTTCTCCAAGCTGCTGGATGGAAAGGACTCAGCCCAGCAGCCTCAGACGAAGCACAGGACGGTCACCTTCCTTGTCTTGTGCTGTTGCTTATCCTGCCTCACCACTACACCTTTTCTCCCAGACCCTTGAAAATGGCCCAGTTTTCCTGACTTGCAGCCCTAGACCTTGGCCCTTTGCCAGGTGGGATTTCTTCTCTTTGGAAAAAATGGTCACAGTGACCTACTACTAGAAAAGCAAGGGGTCTGTCCAATGTGAGCTAACTCCCAAGAGGAAAAGTAACAAAAATGTGAGACGCTGTCATTTCTGAGAAGTCACTTTATGTCAAATGCTACTTTATAATCTCACCACTGGAAAGATGTAGGTGCGTCTCAGGGCACCATGTCAGGGGGAGAGTGGTAACTGGCCACTGGTCTTGCTGATCAGCTTGAGTTCATGAGGGGAACAGAAACCAGCCCGTGGGCGGTAGAGGAGACAGTATCTCTCTAGTACTGCTTAGATTTGAAACATTTAAGAAAAGAAACTGAGGTGAGAACTGAAAAACCAGCAGTTATGACTTATCTCCTATCTAAAATAAAAAGGTACTGAGGTGATAAACCCTGGTTCATGTTTCTTAGAATCTAAATTGTTCACTCACTGCCTTCTAAAAATAAACCAATCAATAAATCAAGGTCCTGGCAAGGAAAGGACACCCCCTGATCACTGGTGAGGAATTCCCTTAGGAGATTCTCCCCTGCTTTTCCAAGCACATGGCAAACTATGGGACGTGAATCACAGTGACAAAACAGACAAAATCACTAAGGAGTGAGAGGAGTGTGCAGAATCCCCAATAGGCCAAACTGTAGGATCATGGATGTGGATTCCCCACCCCCCACCACCGCCAGAAGCTTAATTATAGCCACTGGCTACAATGCCCTGGAGAGCAGGGGCCCAATATTTTGCCCCTGGGAATTTCCATATGAGAATGCAGAGGGGAACGTAGAAGTCAAATCTGTGTCCTTTATTCCGCCTAGTAGGCATACCCAAGAACCATATGCTGAATCCTATCTCCAAAGGCTGATGGAAGTTTCCCTGGCCCCAAGGCACACAACTACCTGGGCTGTGCTCTCTAGGACAGAAGTGTGGGCAGTGGAGAGGAGCTGAACCTTGAGGCAGACGCCCTAGCACAAAGGGGAATGGAGATCTAAGGAAGGACTATGATGGAGGGGGCAGTGAAGGGCCTCAAAGGGTCCACATTGGCTGTTTTGAGGTGAGAGGCATTTCCACCCACCCTCCATGTCCACTGACAGCCAAACCCAGACTACCCAGTGGGTAGAAGTGAAGCTGCTGTTGCCTAGTGTGGTGCTAGATTCTTCTGGAGTCCCTTTCCTTTTCCTGCAGTGGCTATAGTTGTGACCAGGTGGAGCCCTTGGCTCAGGCATCAGGCTGGTAGTCTGGAAGCAGGAATCACTTGTCAGAGGAATCTAGAAGCCACTTGCTGGGAGTCTCTTCTTTTTGGCGATGAGCTGCTTGAAGATTCAGACGTCAGATATAGGGTGGTGGAGAGAAGACTTGTGAGGCCGCCAGATTAAGGACGGAGCTGGGAGCTGTGTGCAACAGGGCCAAAGAGTGTTCAGTGGAATCTGAGTAGTGAGAGGCCACTGGGTCCAGTCTCCATCAAAGACGGAAGAACTGGGGCAGAGGTGACTGGCCTCTTGCCTAAGAGATAGAACTCAGGCACCAAGTAAAAAAGACCCCATGCATAACTGCCACCCTCCACCCTCAGCAGGGTCTGATGACATGCCCACGCAGAAACCAGTGGCCAGCGAGGCAGGGGCTATTGCTGGGATATCATGGTGAGTGCCCAGTCCAAGAAAGCCACTGTGATGTCCTGCAGGCAGAGCCAAGTCCAGCAGGCAGCCTGGCTGAGCTGTGTTTTCACGCAGTCCCAGGTCACCTCACCTCTGGAAAGAAAGCCAAACATTTTTGGGTGTACGTGTGTGCAGGTATGTCGACTCACAAGGCTGCAAGTTGTGTGGGGCAGAGTACCCAGGGATGAGTGAAGGGCAGGAGTGGGGCCACTGGGGATCCTGCTGGAGCACTGGGTGAAGGTCTCACCTGCATGCCTCATGACAGTGCTCCTGGGCCCAGGCTAGGGCCTCAAGTAGAAAATGCCACAATGGTAGCAGCATGTTCTGATAGAGAAATAGGAGTAAGTCCCTCAGACAATGCAGCAGCTGGTTCAGGGCATCAGGGAGCTGGATCTGCAGCTGGACCATGGAGAATGGATAGGGTCAGGGTACTCAGGAGAATGCATCCTGGTCCTTAGGATCCAGTCTGTGAGGGGATACCCCTTCCTAAGAATTCTGTCCCTGGGAAGACAGGCCCTTCTCGGACTCTGTCTTTGGCTTACCCTCTGAGAGAGGCTGGAGAGGCTATCGCCAAACCAGGCAAGGTAGGAGGCACAGTGGGTAGAAAGGAAGTTGACTATGGTGATGGTGTGAGCCCAGGCCAGCTGCAAGCTGGGATGTACCATGGTGAGCAGGTAGGAGCCCCAGGCCGGCAATATCTCTTCTAGCCAGCTGTAGGAGACAGAAGGTAGACAAGAGGGTGCTGAGTTTCCTTATGCCAGCTTGGCTTCCAAAGAACAGCTGGGGAATGGGAGGCCACTGCAAAGGAGAACCTAAGCACTTCCTGCTGTCGATCCCTGCCCCAGTCACCTCCCTGACACCTAAGCCTTTGCTTTCATACCTCTACTCTCTCCGCCCTCCTGGGAGGAGCTCACCTGTAGGCTTGCAGGCTGTAGAAGTAGAGCTTAGCACACACTTGCTGGCTAGCAGGCAAGAAACCAGATGATTGAAGCAACCGGCCAGTCAGGGAGGCTGAGTAAAGGGGGCCTCTGGTGAGCTGGGAGATGAGATGGGCCAGGAATGGGGTGATAGACACTATGGGGGACCCAGGCAGACACTAAGACAGTGGGGCAGAACTCTGTGTGCTCACAGATCAAAGAGCTGGCTCCAATCTGCTCTGGAGCATGCTTGCAGGAGGCACTCAGGGCTGGGGGCTGAACCTGTTCTCCTGCTGGGCCAGGTGAACAGAATGGGGCCACCAGGTGGAGCCCTTGACTCAGGCATCAGAAAGCCTCCGGTTGAGAGTCTGCCCATCTACTTACTAGTTGTGACCTAAAACTAGGAAGTGCTAAATTTTTCTAAGCCTCAGTTTTCCATAGGAGTTAAAAGGAGATAATACCTACTCAAAGGACACACATGCAAGCATTTCTAAATTGCAAAGTATAAATCCAATCTTGGGTGATAATGTCTTAACCATGGACAGAAAAATCTATCTGCAAAGTGTTTATTCTGCAGTACGAGAGCTCATTACGACAAAGGTGTTTGTTGGGTGGGTACTCTACCTAGCTCTAGCCCCACGACCATCCTGTCTTCCTTGTTTGCCAGTCACTGCTTACCCTGGAAAGAGCTGTGTGACCGGAGGTCATGGCACAGGAAACCTATGGCAAAGACCAGCAGCAATAGCAGTAGCCGTGCCCAGGGCAGCCGGGGGCCGTGTGCCTGCTGCAACAGGCCCTGGGGGGAGAAGGGGGGACATGTGGTCAGAAGGAAGAGGGGCTGGTCCCTGACCTTGGAAGTCATACTTCAAACCAGGCCTTCCAGGAAGAACATCAAGCCCTCACATTATCCTGTGAGGAGATAATGTGGGGAGGCAGTGGGGGGGCTCTACAGACAGGTGGAGCAGGAATGATACAGGCCCAAGCCAGGATATGCTGAGGCAAAGATGCAGGATAGTGTGTGGGTTGGAGAGGGCTGGGTACCAGCACCTTGCAGGCCACATCACAAGTGATGACATCCTGGTTGTTACAGTTGCCCTTCCTTAGCAGCTCCTGGTTGGTAAGTTTAAAGGACTGAATGGTTTCTTGCAAAGACTTCTGCACCTATGGGATAAGAAAGGTCTAAGTTGAGAACATAATATCTAACCCATGAGAGAATCCTGAGCCTCCCTCTTGCTTCATTATCCATGTCAAGTGTACCAGCAGAGTTATGTCGGTAGGGAAGGGAAGACAGTGGCACAAGAGGGACACAAATCCAGAACCCAGACAAGGCTCAGCCTGCTACATCCTCCCAGCTCCTTACCTTCTTGGGAATCTGCTCCCAGGAGCTGAGTAGGTGTTCCAGCAGCAGGCTGTGGGGAAAGCACACCCCTCCCATTTAGGCGCTGGTGTAGCCCCACCCATACTCCTGTCCTGGCTCCTTTAGGCTGAAAGAACCATCCATACATCCATAGAACAGCCTTCCCAGAAGTCAAGCCAGACAGCAACATTCCCACTCAACCTGAGAGACATGAGTCTGCAGAACACAGACCCTGTTCCCCTGTGCTTCTAGCACAAGGACAGGCCAGCTATGGACTGGGAAGGTCCTCTGGGTAGATCAGAGGCAGGCAATCCCCTACCCCCACCTGCCTGGACTCTGATAGGTGCTTGGAGTATAGTTGTCTCCAGACGCTGGCACTGAGGGGGTTCACAGTCAGGCACTTGGTCAGGCTGGCCAGGAGCTGCACAGGGGGACAAAGGGAGAGACTGCTGGGCCATGGGGCTGGTTAGAGGAAGAGAGTGTTGAAAAGTCAGCCTCCTCCCCTAAGTGAGACCACCCAGGCCACATGTCCACCCTAAGTGGTGAAAATAGTGTCAAGATTCCAGAAAGGTCTTTGAGAGTCTGTAAAGGGGAAGGCTGGGGCTTCTTAACTAGAGCATTGAGTTCAAAGATTGTGAATCTCAAGTGATAGGGCATAGGACACAACCCAGACCTTTCTGGTCCTTTGTTCTGAGGACAGAGGGTAAGTAAGTGGGGCAGGTGACCGTCAGGAGAGGGTTCAGGACAGGCCTAGGAAATGGGATCCAAGGAGGTAACAGAAACCACTTTGGCTGACCCCTAGGAAAGGGAAAGAAACCTCCCACCATTTCCTCACCTCTTTCTTCATCTCAGGAGGACAGCTGTGGGTGGTTCTGGACAGGAAAGAAGGGAAATAGGTGTGCAGGGTGGAGTCTGGCTTTGCTCCAAATGCCAGCACCTTCAGTCGGGGGTAGAGCTGACACAGCTGGTCCTGTAGGCTGGGTGGGGAAGGAGAGAGGACAGCAGGCATAGTAAATGGAGGTGTGACATGAGCCTTTTGCCTGCTTCAGAGCCTATGCCCTGTCTGAGGGGTAGGGTCACTGAGGGCCTTGCAATGGCTCCACATCTTTTTATTCAGAGATGCCTTGGAAAATCTGTTGAAAGCCATAGACCTTCTCCTGAAGAAAATGCCCATATGCCAAATCATACCCAGTGGCCCACAGAACTCCAAGGGTTCACTGATCCCTTAAAACCCACCTTTGAATTTCCAGCTAATGAATCTCAGAGCCAGGGTGGCTGGGAAAGAAGGGACAGGAATGTAATGTCTGATCCTGACCTGGGCACTGGGATCCCTTCATAGCAGGTATGCCCAGAGCACTCCTACCTTGGTGTCAGGGAGTTGTTAGGCATATAGGCAAAGTCCAGAAGTGGGAAGAAGTCCTTGGGGCCAATTATACCAAAGCCCTTGGTGAGGTTGGGATGCATCCTGCAGGGGAAGGAACACACAGACTTGTTGGAGACCATCCCCCAGGCCAGCTGTTTTGGTCACAACCCCAGCTAAGCCAACAATCTAGGAGAAAGGGCATAAACTCCACCCATACCAGCCCTTAATGACTCCCTCCTTTCCCTTCCTCACCATCACACTCTGAGGTGGGAGGGGCTGGTCCTGATTTTCCTCATACCTACAGAGACCAGGATCACAGCATCCTATTTTGCTGAAACAGCCATTTGTAGACACCCTGAGCCTTCCCCTTGTTGTCCCCCCATTACTCACAGGAGCAGCCGATCCAGGTAGGCAATGGCAAAGGGAGACAGAGACTTGATGCCCAGCACAGGCAGCATAATCCCCAGCCACACTGTGGAGACAAAGGTCAGGCTGGGACCCATGGGGGACATCGAACAGGAGCATCTTGGCTCCAAGTGCATCCCTCTTTCTTGCTCACTTCCTTGTTACCTTTTAGTCCCTCGGTGAGGTTGGCAAAACCTGCTTGGCCCAGGGCCCACATGATGGTCAGACACTTTGCTGGTCGGCTCTGGTGAGACCTCAGCAGTTCTAGGAACTGAGAATACCAGTGGGGAAGGCAGGTTGGGATAGGACAAAAAAACAGGAGTTCCCAAAGCAAGGTGGGGAGATATCAACAGGGAGAGAAGGACAGCATGGTGTGGTGATTCCAAATAGTTACTGAACCTTGCTGTGGTTCAGTCTTTCCATCGATAGACTAGAAATAATAATAGAAATAGAAATAATAAGAGTACCTACCTCATATATATCCAAAGCAGACACATGGTAAGTGCTAATAGTATTACCTAGTATTACTAGTCTTATAGGATTTTCCACTGTCCTGTAACTGCTCGGCCTCCCCAGTCCTAGTTTCTTGGTGTCTCCACCACCCCGAGCTCACCTTGCCCAGGTTTGCAGTGGCAATCTTGGGCCTGTCTTGCAGAATGGCCTGGATACAGATACGGTAACCATGCAGTGACTCCCCTGGAGAGAAAGATACATGTTCTCAGACCTACTCAACTACTTGGCATCCTAATCCTAAAATCTCCCTTTTGTCAGTGGTCCAAAGCCTTGGGCCAGCGAATTCTCATTTCCTCTTCCCTTTTTTGGAAAGATTAGTACATTTGTCTACTGGAAAGAGAACCACTCAGTTATGCTGAAAGCAGGAAAAAAGGAGTAGGCTCCCAAGATGGTTGTCTCACACAGGCCCCTCTCACCTGGTGTCTTATCCAGTTCTTGCAGCATAGTTAATAGACAGTGATCAAAAAAGAGCTCCAGAGACCCTGCTGCCTTTGCCAGTAGTCCTCGGATGATCCCACGCAGCTCGCGGCTCACCAGGCTGTAGGGATAATCTGGGGCCATGGGCCTCCACATGAATGCTAGACCAGATGTCCTACCAGCTTTGAGAACTCTAGTACTCTCCCTGAGAATCCAAGTGGAGGCAGAGATCCCTGCACTGACACTGGCATCTTCCCTCTCTCAATGAGGCCCAGAAACATTCACAGCCACGATGATCTGAGAACCGCTCGAATCACCCATGTAAATCATGACAGTGGGGGCACTGGGCTTTATGATTAACACATAGCCCCTTCAGACTTTTCTCAAACTTGTCTGAGCCTGGGGAAGTTAGGAAGACTTACTTACCATGAGTATGCTGGCTCAGTGTGGGCTCACTTAGAGGAGCTTGGAGCTTGTAATTGAGATAGCTGGCCAGGTCCTTCAACCATACAGATGGGTTTCCAGAGAACACACTCTGGCTCTTGTCCAGTTCCTTCTGCAGGGCTGCCACATCCAGCTGTCAGGGACATCCCACCCACACCATAGTGAGTTGTGAGTGAGGGGTAAGGAAATAGGTTAGGAGTGGGAAAGGGTTGAACTAGGTGATGGTAGGAAGAAGGGTTTCTGTTTTTAAGCATAAGTATGTGGAATGCTGTAGTTTTGCTGTATCCAGATCTTTACTAAGTACAGAATAGGATAACTGAGAATGCTGATCTGAAGGCCCTAGCCTCTTTTTTTTTTGGCTGGGGCTAGGTTTGAACCTGCCATCTCCAGTATATGGGGCCAGTGCCCTACTCCTTGAGCCACAGGCGCCGCCCCTAAAGGCCCTAGCCTCTTAGGCCCTTTACATGTTCAAAGGGAAAAACAGGAAGACAGAACACAAAAGATCACTGCTTCCATGGGTCAGGAACTATGACCAGTTTCTCCATCTCCTCCCTAGTGTTCTTGGGTTTTTAAGGCTTTCCTTTCATCACTGTATGTTTCCATATAAACTTCCCATTTCCTTTCTCTTCTAGATGCAAACATTCTGTTCCCTTGGGGCTTTCATCTTTTCTGGAACAACTCCTCTCAAATGATAGTGTCCCAAATCCCACAGGTTCCTCAGGTACCCCTCCCTTTTGCCCTCTTTTCATCTTCTCTGAATCTCAAGCCCCCCTTCTTGCCATGCCTGAAGACTAGGCACACTCACAGCCTTCAGCGCTTCCTCCAAGCTGCGGAAGCGGCCCTGCTTCTGGTTTTGGTTAGTGAGTGCTGCCACCTTCTTCGGCTGCTTCTTGTTCCCTGGTTTCTTAGGCTCCACAGCAAGGGGTGGAACCTGTTCCTTATTCTGCCGCTTCATGATTTTCTCAAAACCCCGCTCGTAAAGAGTGCTTGTGGTCTGGATTGGGGCTGAGTGAAGACAGGAAGAGAAAGGGGGGCCACCCTTGAGTCTCTGGGGCTTCAAGGCAACAGTGGTCCCTTTCCTCACACTGTCCCCTAATTCATCTGCATGGAGGAGCCCCTCCTTGCTGGACTGCTTAAAGAGTAGGGCAGGGAGTACTCCTGGTTGCTTCTTTTCATCATTACAGCTCTTGAGTCCATAGGCTCTTTCGAAGAAATGGGGCAGTTTCTTTATTAGACAAATCTGAGCATATGGGAACTAGCAGAGGGGTGGGATGCAGAAAACTGGTTTCTTTGGTAGATAGATGGCTACTCATCTGGGAAGACAGGCTTTTTCCATCTTGGTTCTACCCCAGTGCCTCTTAATTCACACATGCCAACTCTATAATCAACAAGTGGAAAGCTTTCCCTACTTCTCTGGGACACAGTGAGGAGACAGGTGCCACCTAGAATAATACCTAGTGGGTGTTGAATGTGTGGCGGGCATTCCTCCCAGCTGGGCCTGTCCATACCAGTCTCCAACCCCACCTGCTGGTTACTTAAGGAGGGGAGCACAGTGTATAATGATCCAGGATGCCTCTTCCCAGCACTCAGACACCTGCCCAGAGAGACCAGAGAGGGCCCGGGACAGCTGGGAGGCTTGTGTTTAGTGAACTGAGCGTCTAAGGAGCGGAATCCTGGTCCCCCCGCGTCCCGTGATCCCGCATAAGGTGTCAAACTTCACCAGGCCTTAGTTTAACAAGGTGTCAAACGTCACCAGGCCTCAGTTTACTCATCTGCGAGGTCAGGACGGCAACCCTCCCTTGCGCTACCTGCCTTTCCTGCCTTTCGTGAGGCTCCAAAGAGAGCAAGGGTGGCGCTCGGGGGTCGGCCTGCGAGCTCACGCTCGGAGAGCTGGGCAGTATTCTGACCTCCTGGGCTCTAAGAGTTGCTCGCAGCTATCCTGTCCGGCCGGGCCCGGGGTCGGCGGCGGCGCGGGCAACGGGACCGGGTGGTTACTCACGGGTCAGGTCGTATTTCCACATTCCGTTCGCCTCCCCAAGCGCCCGGCGGTCCCCACCGCCGCCACGACCATCGCCGCCAGCCCCAGGCCGCCGGCCCTTCTTCACTACCTCCCAGCGACCCCCACCCGCCGTCCTAGCCGCCATGGCTCCAAGCCCTCCGTCCTGGCCACCTCCCGGTTCCGGTCCGGCGCGGGAGCCGCGCTCTGCCACGTCTCCTTGCAGGCCCGCGCGCGGCCCCCACCGCAAGGCACCCTGGGCCTTGTAGTCTCTCGGCTCTGCCAGGCTCGCCGGGAGAGGAGTGGGTGGGGCAGAGCCTCTCCGGGCAGAGGCTGCCCGCAGCAATCTCCTCTGCGCAGACCAAGAAGCCGGGATGCGAGATTGCGTTCCGAAAACTTTTATTGAGCGCCAGGTGAAGGCCACTTCATTGAGTGACTTGGTAGAACTGTTTCCATTTTGCTTTCTTTTCTAGTAATGCTAGAAGGAAAGGAAGTAGCCTTCCATACCTCTAAAGAATTTGAAGATTAAACACTTTCTTCCTTCTAGGAATGTGCTAGCTTTTCTGTTGCTAGTGATTAAACTCTGGGTTTAACGGGCTATGCAAATCTATAAGCCAAAGAACAAGGAAGAGGATGGAACTTGAGGGAAAAGGCAGTGTTGGCGGGGTGGGAGAAGGCGCAGGAGGTGGAGTGGAACGTCAAACTCTTGGGCTCAAGTGATTCTCTTGCCTCAGCCTAGCAAGTAGCTGGGACTACAGGTGCCTGCCTCAATGCCTAGCTATTTTTTTGTTGTTGTCGTTATCATTGTTGTTTAGCCAGCACAAGCTGGGTTAGAACCCGCCAGCCCTGGTGCTGTAACCACTGAGCTATGGGTGCCGAGCCAGATTTGTTAATTTAAACCAGTGATTTTCAATCAGTGTGCCACAGCGCACCATGAGAGGATCTTAGGTGTGCCATGAAAAATTTTAAAGATCATTAATTAAATTATTTTCTAAAGAAGTTCAAAGCACAGTAGTACATTCTTTTATTTTTTATTTTTTTTACTTTTTTAAAATCAACATAATTTAAGTGTGTCATGGAAGTTTCATTGTAGGTTCAAGTGTGCCCTGAGATAAAAAAAGGTTGGAAAACACTGATTTAAACAAACGCATAGAGACTAGTAAACTGGAAGTAGTCCAATGTGACAAGGCTTAATGGGATTTTGGAGGTTGGAAAGGGATCTGAGCCCATATCCCAAGGGCCTTCCTTCCCTGCCAAATCTGGACATTATCCTTCAGGCCCTGGGAAGCCAGAGGGAGAGTGGCATGATCCACTGTTTTGGAAAGGTAAATGAGGCTGTGTGAAGGATGGGTTAGGAAGAGAGGAAGGCAAGAGGTAGGAGATAAGCTGCTCTTTCTGCCTCCTTCTGTCTGTTCTCCAGGTCTGACCATGGCTAGGTCAGATTTAACCCCCAGCTGGGTTAAATCTCACTTGCTTATAGGATCTTGAAGCCTGTGTGGGAGGCAAAACTCTAAACAGAAGATTATAGTTTACAATCTTAAGTGTTCCAGAAGACAAATACACTTAGTATGAGGTACTAGGAAGAGGCAGTAAGGAGCTTTATATTCCTGAGCTCCAGATGTTCAAAGAGCAGCCTTAGACACTGGCCATAGGGGTGGGCTTGGGTAGGTCCCTCATCTTTGGGGCTTGAAGACCCAAAAGATACTGGGTCAAGGAGGACAGGTGGGGCTTGGCACCTGTAACTCAAGCGGCTAGGGCACCAGCCACATACAACCGAGCTGGCGCTTGCTAAACAAC